GTTGTTTTGATTTGCATCTCTCTTAGAGCTAGGGATTTTGAACATTTCTTCATGTGTTTGTGTGCCTTCTGAATGTCTTCTTTGAAATGTCTGTTCATATCCTGTGCCCATTTTTCTACTGGATTATTTACCTTTATCAGGGCCACTGTTGTAAAACAGAACTGACATCTGGGTTTAGGGAAGACAAAGAAGGAGGGATGAATGGTGTATACTTCATTGAAACAGATGAGGGTGAGAACTGTTTAAAAGTGATACACGATTGGGTATTATTGGCATGACAGGAGTCCAGAATGATGGCTGCACAATGGAGTGGACATGAGGGGAACGATTGTGTAACAATGAAAGAGTTTTTCTTTTTCTCTTCAAGAAGAGTGAATTGGGGGTGAGGGGGTGGGCAGGGAGAAAAGTGCAACCGTGAAAGAATGGAAACCCTAAGTCTCTGTAAGCTTTCATTTTTAAAATTAATTTAAAAAGTGGAAAAAATATTCATTCATTATTGCACAATTTCTTCCTTTCCCCATTTGCCCTCCCCCTCCCTAGTCCTCTTTACAATGTACCTCTTACTCTGGACTGTTACAGAGAATCCCTAATCATATATTTCTTTTTTTTTAATCATATATTCCTTTTAATCAGTTGCAATACAGTGTTCATTATCTATCTGCTCTTTTCCTCTTCTCCTTCCAACTTCCCATGTCAGTCGTGTTTCATAACAGTCGTGTTATGCCGTATTTGTCCTTTTGAGACAGACATCTCAAAATTTATACTTCTGGTTTTTACAATAATGATCTCATATAGTATTTGTCTGTTTGTGCGTGGGTTAGTTCATGCAGCATACTGTTCTCTTGTTTCTCCCGTTTTAGAGTATTTTTTCAAATCATTGCTCCTGAGTGCAACATAGTATTCCATCTCGTGAATGTATTGGAATTTCCCAACCCACTTGTTTGTTTATGGACATTTTGACTATTTCCATGTTCTTCCTATTGTGGGTAATGCTGCTGTGAACACTGGTGTACAAACATCTGTTGGTGTCACAGTTCTGTTTTCCTTGGGATATATTCCTAGCAGTGGAATAGCTGGGCCATATCACATTTCTGTAGTCAGCTTCTAGAGGAAACATCAGATGGGAGCAGGCAATTTTGAATTTTTAAAATCTTTTTAACACTTTAACATTCGTGAGTGTTTTGTAAATTTTCGTTAAATAAGTGATTTAACAGTGTTGTGATTGTTTATGTCATAATATTTATTAAAGAAAATACCACGACATTTATCATTTATGGTAGTTTGTTAGATACTTCATTTAATTGGAATGTGATTTACAATTTTTGATGACCCAACCTGCATAGTTTTAGTTGGATTTATTATAAAGGCAGCTAGAACAAAGAGGATAGATTAACAAAACTGTAGGCAAGCAGGCATGACTTTTTGCTAATGGAGATAATTTTAATGGAATGAATCATGAGATTATGTTCTCTTTTCTAGGTATACCTTAGAATATTTGCCTTCAACTGCCCATCGTCAGAAGCCTTCCCATAAAAGTGCATTGTCTGCATTAGCCTGCTCCCAGGCCAGTGTTTTCAGACTGACATACCTATCTGAGCATGAGAGCAGCTGTCCTATCTCAACCACAGATTATTGCCTTGAGGATGATCAGGTGGGCAGGCATCTTAATTATTTTTTATAAGGTTTCAGCTCTACAGTGTCATTGATTGTATTCTGACTGAAAATCAGACTTGTGTAATTCTGTGTTGCTAGCTGAACAGAAGATTCCAAAAGGCAGCACGGAATGACAAAGCAAAATATTACAATGAAATGTGTAAGGAGCTGGAGTCTGAAAATCAAAAGGGCCGAACTCGCTCAGCATTTCTTAAGCTCAAGGAACTGAAGAACAATTTCAAACCTCTAGTTGATATCATAAAGATGCTTTAGGCAGAATATTAAATGATCCAGGAAGTATTAAAAGAAGAAGGAAAGAATATACTGAGACATTGTATCAAAAGGAACTGGCAGACACAGAAGAATTTAATGAAATAACATATGAGCAAGAGCCTATGGTGATGAAGGAAGAAGTTCAAG